GTCCAGCTTTTCTTTGCTTCCTTGTAGGTTTTCTTTTGTTCTATGCTGTGCACTCTTTACTTTATTTTTTTCTCTCCCCCCATTCTTCCAAGAAGGCTGCAATTAAGCTCAGATACACACATACACACACACACACACACACACACACTCATACACATATATGTAAGACTATACTATACTTATTTCCACTTGTCATCTGTTTCTCTGAAGGTGGATAGCATCTTCCTTTATAAGTCTGCCTCCCTGTTTTTTTGAATAAGACACTTATATTCTGGGCATTTCTTTTTTTTTTTTTTTTTTTTTGGCTAGGCAATGGGGTTACATGAATTGCCTGAGGTCACACAGCTAGTAGGTGTTATATGTCTGAGACCGGATTTGAACTCAGGTCCTCCTGAATCCAGGGCCGGTGATCTATCTGGGCATTTTCAATGGCTGTCACTCATGCCTGAAATTCCCTCCTTAACTCTTCCTTCTGGCTTCTCTGGTTTCTTTCAAGTCTCAACTATAATCCAACCTTGTACAAGAATTTCCAATGCCTCTTTAATGCTACTGCCTTCCCTCTGGGATTATGTCCAATCTATCCTTTCTATATCCTGTTTCTACATAGTTATTTGTGGGTTATCTTCCCCATTAGACTGTGAGTTTCCTTAAGAACAAAAACTGTTTTTGCCTTTTTTGTATTTCCAGAGCTTAGCAGAGTGTCTGGTACACAGCTGGCACTTAATAAACGCTTATTGACTTGTTGCCACGATTCACAAAAGGGTTGCACTAATGCATAGCTCTACCAACAATTCATTAGTGTGCCTGACTTTCCATAAGCTTCCATAAGAGACTTCTTTCCATCCCATAGAGGAGGATGGTTCTTTCAGACAGGGCTTGAAACTGATTCAGCTGTTTGATCAAGCCCTCCAATTTTGACCACCTCTGTCTTTTGTCATTGCATATTCAACAGGTGTGAGGGGAAATCTCAGGGGTGTTTTGCTTTGCAGTTCTTTCATTATTAGTGATTTGGAACATTTGGAAAGACACATATTAACAGTTAATTAACAGTTAATGGGAGAAAGCTAGAGGATTTTGCTCTGCTCCCAGGCATTGCACATTTTAACAGTGAACTCTGGAAACAAGAGGTCAGTTCAAAGGAATGACTAACGATGGGAATTATGGGCCAGGGCAGGAAAGAAGGGCAGTGCTAGGGGCAGGGCAATAGGGAGCGTATTTTCAGCACAGAGGCCTTCCAAGAACATAGAGAGTCCTGCTAAATACGTTACAGCACAGAGTTGTCTGCTTCTAGCACGGAGGAAAAGAGAGACAGAACAGTGCAAGACTGGACTGTCTTGGGAAAACAGCCAAGCTTTTCTCCTTTAACAAGAGGCTTCTTTCCATTCCTTAGAGGAGGGTGGTTCTTTCCGACAGGGCTTGAAACCAATCAAGCTGTTTGACCTTGGGCAGGTTATTTTCCCTCTTTTAGCTAATTGCGGCCTTCATAATAATAAGAGCTAGCATTTTGTATAGCACTCTAAAGTTTGCAAAATGCTTTACAGATAATCTCATTTTATCTTCACAACAACCCTGGGAAGTAGGTGTTATTATTTCTATTTTATTTATGAAGAGCCACAGCAAAGGGAGGATATATGACTTTCTTAGGGTTACACAGTGTCCAAGGCCAAATTTGAACTCAGGTCTTCCAGACTCAAGGCCTAGTGCTCTATTCCACTGTGCCACTTAGCCGTCTTAATTCTAATATCTCTGTCCTAAGGTCTTTTCAAGGTCTAAACTCTTTGCTCCAACATTTTATATCTGGAGATCCAGCTCAGACATTCTATATACACCAGGGGGAACGACGTGAATGAAGACAGAGACCAGTAAGATGTATTTAGGGGATCACAAAGGGATAAACAGCACCTTACTACGCTCCAAAGATACAGAAAAGTAAGTGACATTCGCTGTCTATTGGAGCATACATTTTTTCTGTCTTATTCCCCTTTCCCACAATTTACCCGTGCCATCTCATCCTATGGTGATTGAGTCCGCGTCCTGAGGGTCGAGTGAAGGAAGTGGGCACGTGGAACCTACAGAACAGAAGACTCAGGAGACATGATTGCCGCCCAAGTACTTACAGGGGTTTTGTGGAGAAGGGATTAGATTTGTTCTGTTGGGCCTCAGAGAGCGTTAGGAACCAGGAGCGATAGGTGGAAGTAAAAGAGGCCAATCTGGCTGATTACGGGGGAAAACTTCCTAACAATTAATTACAGGAATGGGTGGCTTTGAGAGGTAGTGGATACCTTTCCTTTGGGAGTTTTCTTTTTCTTTCTTTCTTTCTTTTTTTTCTTTTTTTGGCTAGCCAATGGGGTTAAGTGACTTGCCCAGGGTCACACAGCTAGTGTCAAGTGTTTGGTCTAAGGTCGGATTTGAACTCAGGTCCTCCTGACTCCAGGGCCAATGCTCTATCCACTGGACCACCAAGCTGCCCCTTCTTTGGGAGTTTTCAAGCCAAAGCTGGACAACCAGATTCTATTCTTTTAGAGGTTGGACTAGACAGACACAGAGGCTCCCCTCAGCTCTCAGATTTTGTGAAATTCTCCATACAGGACCCCCCTAAAGATTCTGTTCTCTGGCTTGACAATTTTATTAAATGGGCAGCATTTGGGCTGCAGGTTTGTTTTCCTGTTGTCTCCCTACATGACCAGTCCATCTTCTTTTCCCAACATATTCAAGTCATTGGGGAACACCTTTGTGACACTCTTCCTTTACAAGACATTGTTGGTAACTGCTCATACCCATCGTGTGTCTTTGCAGTTCCTTTTGTGCCACTCACAAATTTTTAATCTTCTGAGATCATGATGTTCCATGATTTATAGCCATAATAATAAACATTTATATAGCACTATGTGTCTGGGCTAAGCACTTTATATTGCTCCTCACAACAACCCTGAGAGGTGGGTACTATTATAATCCCCATTTTACATAAGAGGAAAAGGAGGCAGAGATTAAAAGTGACTTGCAGAGTCACACAGCTAGTGTCTGAGGCTGGATTTGAACTCAGGTCTTCCTGATTTTAGGTCTGATGCTCCATCCACTGTGCCATCAAACTGCCCCTAAATAACATCACTAGGAGGTTCTTCTCACCAAAGGTTTTGGCTTTTGTGTTGAATTTAAGCTTGTACCTCTGCCTTGGATTGATGCTGCAAGACAATGAGCTGGGCCCAGAATTGGAGAAAGATGTAATGTGGGAAATGGCACAGGGGTTTAATGATCCCAAGTACTGCACATAGTAGGTGACATATTTGAATGAATATCTGGAGACTTCAAACACAAGCTCAATCTCATCTACATGCATTTAAGGGGGTTAAAAAGTGTCTGAAGGATTTCAAAAGGCTTGGAGAGCAATAGTTCCCAGGTAAAACAATGCTTTATCAAGGAGAGTCAAGGTGTGTAGTTAGAAATGGAACTGCGGTAATCTTGACTTTTGGCATTGTAGAGATCTGTCTTCAAAAGGCTTCTGGCTTTCCTGATGGTAACTCAACCACTCTCCTTTTTAAAGTTTGTCTATCTGATTGGCTGGAAAACAAATGTCTGTCTCTGGGGCCCTAGTTTCTGGCTGGTGGAAGAAAACCTGAGGCTTAAATTCTCAACTGGTAGAGATGTAGTTTCCTTGGTCACTAGATCAAAGCGAGGGGATGAGGTAGTAAGCCTTTAGAAAACAGAGCAACAACAAAATAAAAACCCTAAAACGAAAGGAGGGCAAACTATGGCCTGTGGGTCAAATTCTACCAGCTGAGGAGTGAAGTATGGTTTTTACATTTTAAAATACAATTTATTTAAAAATTAACATATACAACTTATTAGATTTTATTTAAAAATGTAAAAACCATACTGACCTCATAAAATGGTTTCTATTTTAAAATGTACAAACTATTCTTGGCTCATTAAATAAAAGAGATGATGGCAAATCAGCTGGGGGAAACGAATGATTATATCTAGGCTTGGGAATTGATGCCACAGAGGGGGAAGAAACCTCCACTCCAGGATGTTAAAGGTAGGTCCTGAGCCTCAGACGAAGCGTGAAATAGACCATGCCTCTTCTGTCAGCGGGAAGAATATCAGGCACTACTCCTCTCAGGGAAATACAAGAGGGGGGGAAAGATGAGGAGCCAGCAAACATCTAGGAAGTTCAATTCAAAGACTGCAGATGCTTATTTTTGCTTCTAGTTGCTGGGAGCTTATTCCCTGGGTCCAGAAAGAGGAATGAGATTAGTTAGGAAAGCAGATCATATTGTATATCATCTTGGTGTAGTTGAAAGGATTCTAAGTAACTGGGGAGGGTAGAAAAGGAAATTCTGCCTCAGCCAAAGTAAGCTGAAAAGGTTTTCACATCTCCTACAGCATGTAACATTTTGGGGCTTCAGTTTCCTCATCTATAAAATTAAGGGGTTGGATGAGATGATCCCCAAGGTCCCTTCCAGCTCTAACATTCTCTCCTGAGGCCCAAGTTCTGATCTTCTTTATTCTAAGGTCCCTTCCATATGTAATAGGCTCAGAGCTCTTAGGGATTATGCCAGATGAGGTTAAACCAAGTTTCTTCCTCCTTTGGTCATTAGCATTCATAAACATTTGGAAAACTAGAACACTCAGGATTTTGGGGTGGTGTACCCCTTGTCCTTTCTTTAACGATTGAGTCTCCCCTAGATGAGAAGTACTGAATTACTCATGGGCCCATTCCCACTCTGACTGCCATGGGAGCTTTGACCTGTTCCATTTTCAAAATGAGCCACTTCTTCCAACTGGGGCAACCTTGGCCACACTCCCAGTTAACCTTGAAGGGTTTACCTTATTAAGGCCAGACTTAAAATGGAAGGACACCTCATTGCCTTAGTGTACTGCAGCTCACGACTCCCAAGCTCAACAAATCCACCAGCCTCAACCTTCAAGGTAGCAGGGATTACAGAATATGTTATGTGCATCATGGATGGCCACAGACAAAAAGACAACAGGACCAGGAAGAGAGGCACACAATAATTTATTAAGGCCCCCTTGGGAGAATCCTTCATCTTCAGCTTCCAGTCCAATCCCTAACAAGCTATTCCACCCAAAGCAATTGTTCTGTAATACCTCTAAAACAGACAAGGGAAGACAGTCTGGTATCTAGATTTAAAGCAACCAGGGAAAATAGTAAACTTCGCAAATGTGAGACAGAGAAATGAACACACAGCCAGGATATAATTTATTTGGTCGACAGATCAGTTTAAGAGGTGAGAGGATGGGGTAGGGTAGGAAAGCCTTTTTAGAATTGGGTAACAAAAAAATAAAAACTTTAAATTAAAAAAAATATATCTATGAATTTTGTGTTCTATATTTAAAGAAGAAAAAAGCCCAGAGACCCACAAATGAAAAAAAAAAAACTTTAACTATAAGGAGGGAAAAAAAATGATGGTATATCGGCCAGGGGAATAAATGACTATGTCTAAACTTGAGAATTGGAGCACAGGGGATTTTGTGTAAAGAAGCCTCCACCCTAGGATGTTTCCAGGTTAGCCCTAAGCCTCAGAGCAAGTGTGAAAAAAACCACTTCCTATTCTATCAGTGGGAAGAATACTAGGTATTAACTCATTTTCTCAGTGTGAAATACATGATGGGGAAAAAAAGTGAGAACCAGCAAACAGATGAAATGGAATTGAAGTTTTCAGATGCATATTTTAAACTTCTATTTTCCAGAGGTTACTCCCTAGGCCCTCCCCCATTAGTCCTTAAATCTAACAGTGGGTAAAATGAACATATAGAGAGGCTGCTCCCACCCACAGAACCCTCAGCATATCCTTATAATGGGTAAGGGAAATTGTTCCATAAGTACTCTCAAACCAAGGACACCTCACTGTGGTATATACATAACACAAACTACGACATCTATAAAGAACATGGTCTCCCTGTAACTTTTTTTTTTTTAAGACAACCACATTGTGTTCTAAAGGTACAGAAAGAGATATACAAAAGTTGGCTTATAGAAGTTAGAGAAAGGTTCATTTAAAAAAAATCAGAATACAAAAATATTTTAAACCTGATGCTTGAAGATAGGCAAGTCTGAGATAATAAAGCACTTCTGGGAAGGGGTTTCAGCTGCTTTGTAAGAAGGTCAACACATTGCTCATTCACTAAAGAGGCTCTGGTCAATTTTAAAAAACAAACTTCTTTTTGCAAAAGACAGAAACGATGGCAGATTCATAAAAGGTCTTAGAGGTTTAGAAAGGTTAGCTTAATCTTTCTGAATGGCAGAAATGGGGCTCTGATGTTATCATCTCCATGACTACCAGTCTGCAGCCGTGGCAACGAGAGCCTAGTGACGTCTTTCAAGGCAGCAGAATATAGCCATCTCTAGTATCAAGGGCAGGGACTGAAGCTCTAGTATTTCCCCATGGTGAAGAGGCCTCTCTCAACAAAGGGGACTGAGTTCAAAATATGGTTTGAGTTCAACAGGGGAGGTCAGGGAAAGGGACCACTGAGAAATTGTCCTTTAAATAGAGGGCTCCTATAAGATAACTAGCGTAGGGTTTGGAATAGAACCCTCTATTATAGCAGGATGCAACAGCTGTTGAGCAGAAAGGACCCCAGCCTGGGTGTCTGGAGACCTAGGATCTGAGTGGCTTTGCTACTTCCTCACTGTGTGGCCTTAGGCAAATTTTTTCTCCTCTCTAGGCCTCGATTTTTTCCCGTGTAAAATGAAGGGGTTGGACTAGATTGTAGATTTGGAACCAGGAGGAGTCTTAAAGATCATTTGGTCCAACATACTCATCTTAGAATCTCTAAAGGTCCCTTCCAGCTCTACCATTTCATGTTCTAATACTCTGCGTTTTCATTATGTGCTGATATCACTTTCTAGACTGAGCTGGTAAATGTGGGAAAGGGGAGAGAGGAAGGATGATTGGAAGGTCAGTCAGTACTTGCCCTTTCCCTGGGCTGCCAAAATGAGCAATGGAAGGACCTAACCAAAAGAGGTGTCTGCGCTACAAAAAGAAAAGGGTAAATTATCATAAATATTCCAGCTGTCTGATCTTTTCCAAAAGTCACCAAAGCTAATGACTCATTGGCTTGTTCTTATAATCACTAGATAGTCTAAGCACATCAAACTCAGCATATCAAGACAGAAAGGAGAAGAAAGGGAAGGAGGAAGGATGAAAGCTCCTCACCCCATTCACTCTTTGCAGACTAAAGGCTACTTTGGTTCCCCAGCTCAGCCTTTCTTCTGGGCAGCTCAGTTCTGCCCAGTCCCAGGCAAGCCTAGTGCTTTATCCCTGTAAGGCCCTGAAGCATGTCTATGGGCAGCGGAAAGACAATGGTTGAGTTTTTCTCCGCAGCAATGGTTGTCAGGGTCTGCAGGTAGCGCAACTGAAGAGCCGCCGGGGACTCAGTGATGACCATTGAGGCTTCTTTTAAGGCCCGAGAAGCATTCATCTCCCCTTCTGCAGCAATGACCTGGAGCACAAGAAAGGCAGTGGTCACTTAAGAACAGGAATGAAGCACCTAGTCAGTTCATCCTTATCTGAGCAGTGGCCCACACGCTGGCAGCCGGCTTGCTTAGGATCTCTTCGTGTTCTCACTGTACGGTGTCTGTTTACTGTCAAATGATGAGGCTGCAGGTTTGGAGCTGCAAGGAAATTTTAGAAATCACCTGGTCCAACTTTCTTATTCCACAGAAGAGGAAACTGGGGCCTTGGCAAGAAAGGTAGCATGATTCACATAAGGTCACACAATTAGCATCAGGGTCATGATTTGAATCCACGTCTTCTGAATCTACTACATCACAAATAACAACTCTCAGTTCTCTATCGCTGAGATTTGACAAGTTCATAATTCACAACCACCTTGTGAGGTTCAGTAAAGTACAAATACTAATTGTTCCATTTTACAGATGAGGACTTTGAAATTCAGAGGGAGGAAATGACTGCTGGCCAAGGTCACAGAGCTAGTGTCAGGGAGAACTGGTATGGAAACTCAGGCCTCCCTCCTCCAAGGTCAGAGCTCTTCCTATTACATTTGACCATCTCTCTTTGCAAAAGAAAGAATTTAAGCCGCAGGTTTCCCACCCCTGAGGGATTCATTTTCCCCATCTATCAGGACCTTAAAGCTGAAAAGGCTTACATAGACCCCACTACCCAGCATCAATTCACCACAGCACTAGGAGCAGAGGATGGGGAGTCCACACATACTAAAGCATTACTGAATAGAATCACTCTATTAATAGGTCACTCACTATTAAAGCTTCAGGGTTCTGAGAGTAGCTTATTTCTTGGGATAATATTTTTGGTTGAAACCAATTCAACCTGCATGTTGGGGAGGACAAACAGGCCTTCTTGTTATCAGTTGTGGGTAAATGCCCAGGCCACACATTTGAGTGAGACTCTGGCGAGCTGATGCTTATCTAGAAAAAGGTGACCAGAATGATGCAAGGACTGGGAACCATGAAAAAACAGGGGATGATTAGCCTGGAGAAAACACTGTGGCAGATGACAGTCGAAGACCTGGGTTCAGGTCCTGCTCTGCCACATACTGGCTCCATGACCCTGGGCAAGTCTTTAGCCTCCACCTGAGTCCCAGGCAACTCTACCATGGGAAGTTGCAATGCAGATGCCAGTCTACATTGGTATAGGCAGTTTCATACTGGGGGAATCTTCTACTGATGAAATCACTGGTCTAGTGCCAAAAAGTAAATAAATAAATTCAATAAACACTTATTAAACAATTACTAAGTGAAAAGCACTATGCTGGAAGCTTGAGGGTAAAAGACAAAAATGAAATTGCCTTGGAGCAGTTTAGATTTTTGTTGTGTGCTATGGATCAGAAATAAGTAAGAAGTAATTTGAGAAGGATTCAGGGAAGAAATGGCTTATGGGAAGAGACATGAAAGATTAAGAATGATGAATGGGGAGTACTCCCCACTCTAGGATCTGTTCAGCCATTAAAGGGATTTTCCTAAAGAGCAGGTCTGATCATGTCACCATCCTCTACTTAAACTCCAGTGTCTCCCTATTGCCTCTAGGATCAAATACAAACTATGCTCTCTGTTGGGCATCCAAATCCTTCCATAACCCAGCCCCCTCCTTCCTTTCCAGTCTTCAGAGACCTTACTCCCTGACCTGTGCTCTTGGATCCAGTAACTCCTGGCTGTTCTGTGTACAAGATTCTCCATCTCTTATCTCCAGCCATTTTCTCTGGCTCTCCCCCTAAGGCTGGAACAGCTTCCCTCCTCTGACTCAGTGCACTGATGGCTTCCTTTTAAGTCCCAACTAAAATCTCACCTTCTACAGGAAGCCATCCCCAAATACTTTTAATTCTAGTGCCTTCTTACTATTGATTACTTCCAGTTTATCCTGTATGTGGCTTGCCTTGTATTTATTTGTTTGCATGTTGTTTCCCCCATTAGACTGTAAGCTCCTTGAGGGCAGGAACTGTCTTTTACCTCTTTTTGTATCCCAGCACTTAGTACAGTGCCTAGCACACAGTAAATGCTTAATAAATATTGATTAATTGAAGGAGAGGAAGAGGGAGTACCTTCCAGGCATGAGGCTTATGTGAAGAAACAGACATGGGACCTGTCTTTACACCTCTGTAGAACCATTCATCATGCGCCAGAGGGGTTAGAACACCTCAGCGGGTAGAACTAGAACCAATGCTAAGAATTCTAACTCAGGGAGGCAGATTTTGGCTCAAAATGAGGAAGGGTTTTGCTAAAAACAAGAGACCCTTAGAAGAAGCTGCTTTAATGTTACAGTTAGGTCTTCTTCAACATAGACTACAGGTGGTGCTGGTTCAAGCAGATGATGCCTTGTCAGGGACGTTATATATAGAGAACCTTATGCTACAGGTCAGGTTGGACTATCCATTCCAGTGAGGATTCTTATGCTCTCAAGAGTCTGATTTTTAAACCCTTTGTAGAAGAAACATCCCCACAGGTAGGAAAACTTTGGCTTTGTTACTACTACCATGAGTATTCCTAGTTAATGCACTGCATCTTTCTAAGCCTCCTCAGTTTCCCCATTTACCAAATAAAAGGCTTGAACCAGACACTCTCCAAGGACCTTTCCAGCCCTAAGTTCTATGAGAACCAAACTTCTGACTATCAGGCATCTGGTTAGGTTAATGCCTAGGGGTTCCCACAACTAAGAATCCTTTCATTGCTCTTATAAGCACTATGGATTCTAAGTGAATCAGACTCAATATGTCATAGAAAAAAAAACAAAAAACAATGGAATGAAAGGGAGGGGGGGAGAAAGGAACAAGAAATATTCCGAGAAAACCACCACAAATCTGATTTCCCAAGCCAGCAATTAAGCAAATAGCTGTCATCTGAATAGGAGTGGGATGATTTTCTGTGTCCTCTCTAATACTCAACCAGGGTGTGTGCTTGGCTTCACAATGACCAAATCCAGAGGCGGTTCATTGCTCACTGTTAAGTCAGACACAGTTGCTTGGATCTGGAGTCATGAGACAAACTCAGCCACTTAGAGGCCAGGGGATTCTGAGCAAGTCACTTTCTTTTTCTCAACTTTGGCTTCATCAGCTGTTAAATGGTGAAAATAATTCTTGAACTCAGAATCTCACCAGATTATTTATTGTGAGGAAAGTGCTAAAGAAACAGCATTCGTTATCATTAGCATAGAAATAAATGCTTTTTACTTTGAAGAAAGCAGGTTATAGCCATCTCCAGTACCAGGGGTAAGGTCTGAAAACTTTATTTTCTCCCCAGGGTCAGTTTTCTCATCTGTAAAATGGGAACAATAATTCCTATGCTACTTTCCTAGCAAGGACGTTATAAGGAAAGTGCTTTAGACATTAAAGAGCTACAGGACACAAGTTTATCTAGGCTTTGGTTTCTCCATCTCTAAAATGGGAACCCTAACCCCTGTGTGATCTACTTTACCATGGGGTCATGAGGTAAGTACTTTGTAAGACTTACAGTGCTGCAGAGGGAGTTGGCATAAAGGGCAGCAAGAAAAGCAATGACTGATGAGGTGGGCAAAGGCATGAAACAGAGAGAGGAGAGAGAAGATCTCAGGGAAGATGTGATGGAAAGCAGCAGAGACCTCTGCCTGAGCAAAGCTGCTCTCTTATCCTGAGAGTCAGGGTGGTTTGTTGGTTACCTTAGCTCGGGCCTCCCGGGAAGCCTCAGCCTCTGCAGCCATGGCTCTCTGCAGCTGCACAGGCAACTTCACATCTTTAATCTCCACACGCTCCACCTTTATCCCCCAGTCATCAGTGGCATCATCCAGAGTGGCCTGTTGGGGACAAAAGGAATGAAGGTGAATTTGCCCAAAGTCCTGGCATACAAAATAAGGGGTGGGGCAAAGGTCCGTGAGATGGATGTCAAGTCCCATAGGTGTGACAGTCTGGGACTCTTGCCCTTGCTATGGGAAAGGAGGGCGATTGGAGGCTGAGAAGGGGAAAAGGAGATTGCAGAGCTTTTAGTCTGTTCGTTGTGCATATGGAACAAGGGAGGGATGATTAAGTTGAGAGTCAGGAGACCCGGTTTCTAACCCCATCTTCAGCATTAATTACCTTTGTAACCTATTAGCAGTCATTTCCCCTCTATGGACCTTAGTTTCCTCAATTGTAAAACAAGAGGCAACATAGTATAGTGGCCCAAGTGCTGGACGTGGAATTAAGAAGACAGATTCCGTTCCCATTCCTGACACTTCTATGTGACCATGGGCTGTGGATAAACAAGCATTAATTAGGCATTTACTATGTGCCAGGACTTAATTATTAAACACTTACTATGCGCTAAGCCCTAGAGATAGAAAGGCAAAAACAGTCCCTGTTCTCAAGGAGAATATATTCTAATGAAGAGACAAAATGAAAACAACTGTATTAAAATAAGATATATACAGTGAAAATGGGAGGTAATCTGAGAGGGAAGGTACCAGCAATGGGGGAAGGGAGGGAATATTGGTAAAAAAATTTTATAGAGGGTGGAATTAAGCAAATTTGTAAAAGAAGTGAGGAGGGAGAACATTCCAAGAATGGTGGACAGCCAGTGAAAACACACAGAAATGGGAGATGGGGAGCAGTGTACAAGGAATAGCAAGGATAGTCTAATGGAAGGAAATAAAGTATACAAAGACTGCAAAGGGAGGAAGGGTCCAGGTTGTGAAGAGCTTTAAAAGGCAAACAGACGAGCTGAATATTTGATCCTGGATCTAACAGGAAGCTGTAATGGCAGGTGGGGATGGGGGCAAAGTGTGATGCAGTCAGAGTCATGCTTTAGGAAAACCATTTTGTGATGTCAAGAAATCTAGAGGAAAGCCTCTAGCATTTTGGATGGACTAACCCTAACTCTGTGGAGGATTTATGGGAAACTACAGGCAAGAGTCACACAGGACAAAAAGACAAAAATTGAGCTGCAATCTATCACAGGCATAGGGCTAGGTATGGAGTAAGCTCTTAATAAATGCTTATTGATTTGACTGATTGCTTGGAGGGAATCTCCACATTGGAAAGAACATAGATCCAAAGTACTGATGCTATACAGAAAGGGCTTTGCATCTGAGTCTTGACAAGAGATCTGAGTGGCTGCTGCCTGAGGACCAGCCAACCTCAATTCACAGAAATTCATGACCAAAGGGGAATATCCCTACAAGTGGGAAATTCTTTTTGGTTACTACTATGAACTGGTTGATCAAGATCTACATCATTGAGTCAAAGGGTCAGAGGTGGAAGATCATTTAGGCCAACCCTTTGATTTAATGAATAAGGAAATAGAAGCCCTGAGAGGCACTCTTAAGCTCCTGAGATTACACAGGTAGCAAGTACCAATAGCTAAGAATTAACCTAGGTCAGGGCCCTCTAGGTCCTCAAGTGCAGCCCTTTGACTGAATCCAAACTTCACAGAACACCCCTGACTAGGTCTTCTGGCTCCAAGTCCAGTGCTCCTTCCGCTACCACCATGTGGCTTCTCTGGACTTCAGTTACCCAACTGTTAAATTAAGGGGTTATGTAACACCTAAAGGTCCTTTCAGCTTTAAATCCTAGGAGCTAATAAAAGTCATTAGTACAAGAAACACTCTCTCAAAATCCTCTCCTTGCAGTTTGGCAGCTACATGGGAGAACATTTCAGGGTAAGGACTCTGGGGCTTTCCAACCGTCCTGTCCCCTCCACCCTACCTTTCTTTCTTTCTTTTTTTTTTTTAATATGAGGCAACTAGACTTAAGTGACTTGCCCTGGGTCACATAGCTAGTAAGTGTCAAGTGTCTGAGGCTGGATTTGAACTCAGGTCCTCCAGACTCCAGGGCAGGTACTCTATCCACTTTTCCACCTAGCTGCCCTTCTACCCTCTTTTCCAAAGCCTGTTTTAATTCCCACTCTGGGAAAGGAAAGTGACAGACCAGGTTCTGATTAATGATTAGACCAGAAAGGGCAACTGCTGTACCAACCTGCATGTTATGGGCAATCTCCTCTCGGTCAGAGAGGATCTGAGAGAGATTTTTGGTGCCTAGGACATTCCTCAAGGTGGTCTGTGCCAGGAGGCGAGTGGCTGAGTCGGCATTGGTGATGTTAGCCACCGCCAGCGTAGCATTCTGGACACGGTAATAGACCACTCCATCCACACTGACAGTCACAGAGTCCTTGGTGAGAATCTACAGGAAGAAAAAAGAGAACTTTATGTCCATTAACCTAACAGAAAAATCTTAAGTGTATGCTGCAGGAAATAACGAATGACACTTTTTTTTAAAACCAAAAAGTGATTTTCCAGTACAATCCCTTTATTCCTTCAAGGCCTAAGCTCGGGTGTGACCTCTTCCATGAATTCTTTGTTGTTTACTTAGCACACAGCCTAGTCATAACAAGTGCTATACAAATGTTAGCTATAATTATTATTATTCCCCCAGTCAGAAATCAGTCGACTAGCTTTTATTACTTGGTGAAGATATGGCCTCCTTCGTGCCAGGCAGTGTGCTATGTGCTAGAGATACAAGGAAAGGCAAAAATTAGTGTCTGTTTTCAAGGAGCTCACAGGCTAATGGGAAGAGACAACCTACAAATAATTACGTACACACAAGATCTATACAGGATAGACTGGCAATAATTCCTTGTCTCAGGCAGCAGAGAGAAAGCACTAAGATTAAGGAAGACTGACTGAGGAAGTCTTGAAGGTGAGACTTTAGCTGAGACTTGAAAGAAACCAGGAGGATCAATTTAGAGAGAAAGCCTCCAGACTTGGATGAGGAAAAGTATGCAGTCCAGTGTCACTAGATCAGAGTATATGGAGAGGAGTGAGGTGTGAGGATACTGGAAAGGGAGGAAGGGGCCCAATAGATAATTAAGGGCTTTGAAAGCCAAAGAGAGGATTTTATATTTGACCCTAGAGGTAACAGGGAGCCATTAAAGTTTACAGAATAGCGGGGTGAAATGGTCAGACCTGTGTTTTAGGAAGAACATTATGACAGCTGGGTGAGAGGTAGATTGGAGTGGGGGAGAGACTTGGGGCAGAAAGAGCAACCAGAAGGCTATTTCAGTAGTCCAGATGTGAGGTGATGAGAAGGGGGCATCATTTTTAGCCAAGGAGAACTGTTGCCCTTTGTCCCTCAAAATTTCCTAGGGCAATTTGGATCTCTTTTTCACCCCTATCACACTCCTTGTATTATATCTGTGTTCATCTCATATCTCCCCTCCCCCCTGCTCTCTGTCCTCCCCCTCCCTGTCTTCCATTCCTGTAAGCTCCTTGAGGGCAGGAACTTGAATAATTTTTCAACTTTGGCTCCTTAGTGCCTATTTAGCAAGAGCTAATAATGCTAGTTGAACTAAGGTGACAGAAATTATTCGGTCCTTTACATTTTCTGAGGTCATGTGGCAAGACAGTCAGCCTAGGAATCAGAGGACATGAGTTCAAATCCTGACTCTGACACTTACTAGTCCCAGTTATACCAGACAAGGCAATTCAACTCCCCGAGTTTTAGTTTTCTTATCTAAATGTAAGACTTCTCTTCCTGGGTTACTGTGAGAAAAGGAATTTTGTAAGGCTTAAAATGCTAGCAAATTTTGAGTTCCATAAAGTAAAGGCAGTTTCATTGTTTTGTATGGTATCTCAGAACCTAGCACAGGGCTTGGTATATAAAAGATGCTTAATGCATGCTTGTTGATTGACTGATGGGTGGAAATGTGAGCTATGATTATCATATTATTCAATCAACAAGGAGCACCTGCATTTTCATAGGGGACAAAGGATAGAATCTCTACACCATACCTAAGCTGAAATCCTCCTCTGGGATTATACTCAATTGAGTTTTTGTCCAGTTCCAGCCTTAAGCACTCCAAGGAGGGGAATCAACCTCTGGAGGCTGGTTAGCCTAATGGTCCATAAGTTTTGTCTTCTAGTAAGACTGAATTTGCTTCTTCGTCGAGTTCCCATATAGCTTTTAGTTCTGCCAGTCCCCATCCCTCCCCAGGCTTTTCCAGGCTAAGTGTCTCCAAGTACTTCTTTGAATCCTCAAGGTAGGGAAGGTTCCTATTATCTCTAGCTGCGGAATGTCAGCATTATCTGGAGGAGGGGTGGGATAGAGCTGGGGAACTTGGCTTGGCACCGGATCACAACCAAGAAGATGGGAAACATAAGCCAGCACATTCACACCTTTCTGACAAAAAAAAAAAGTGGAAGACTTGCAGCCTGCTCCAACTTGTGTGAGTTACCTAATCTTTTCTGAGGAAAGAAATCTCTTAGATTGAAGGGGAAGAGAATTATCTCCTCTTATCTTCCTCATTCGGAGGACTCCACCACAGAGTATGATGATCTGCCCCACTTCATCCTATGTGACAATTTTCTTTAAGGAAGCAATTTAGCAATAAGGAAAACACTGCATCACCCAAATTACTCTAAAAGGAAATGGCCAAAGTACACATTACTTAGGCTTGTGGCTTCAGGTGGAAATGGTTCTTCACCTAAGAAGAGGAAGTCCCTCTGTAGCCTTCCACCCAACTAGCAAAGGAGACCTGACTTCACCTACAAAATGGGCAAAGGGGAGAATTAAGCCCAAGAAATAAAGGCCATCGACAAAGAAGTCTAGACTAGCTGACTTTGGGCAAGTCATTTCTCTTCCTGAAACCTCAGTTTCCTCAACTATAAAATAAATGGGATGGACCAGATGACTTCTAAGGCCCTTCCTGACTGCTCTGTGAGTCTGGGGAGACGACGGGTCTTTCTAGTGCCATTTCAGTGGATTCAACTTTCTCTGGATTGGTCAGGACACTTTTTTGTCTCAGGGACTTTCCTCATCTGTAAAATGGGAAAACCGCCATCTGCCCCGACCTCATTTCATTGAGAGGAGACGAAATGACAGTTCACATTCTAGAAAGTTTTATAGTTCATGACATACTTTGCTCATAACAACCTTGGGCGGAAGGTCGGTACTTCACATTTTATAGATGATTCTCCTTTCTAAATTCCTTGCCTGCTAAAATATTCTGCCTTTGATGATCTCACATTCTGTGCTCTAAGGTCCCTTTCAGTCCCTCTAACTGTTGCTTTTCTAAAACATTCTATAAATCCGAGGAAGCATTACTATTATTATTAATAGTAACATTAGTCACATAGATTTTACAATATAGATCAATTTAATGGTGATGATAAAATAATCACGTAATCGGGCATCAAAGCAACGATCCCACTAATAACCCATAATTTATGACTTTGTGAATATAGATTCAGAGGTTTCTTGGAATAAAATAGGAGCAGCAGGACTGGGACAATCAGAGAATCTGTATTCAAATTCAACCTCTGTCACTTACTACCTAGTATGACCTTGGGCAAGTCACTTAAACTTCTCTAGGCCTCAGTTTCTCCATCTATAAAATGGGCTAAATAATCTAAGGTTTCTTCTGGCTTTACATCTGTGAGCCTATAACTCAAAAGAAATCTTTGCAAATGTGACTTTTATCCATATTAACATTCTTTCTGCCTCCATTGCCTCAGCCCACTGTTTATCTCAGGCAGAATGTTTACCTTAATTCAGAGTAAATTCACTAGGGACAAGAAAGTAGAAGTCTTTGCCAAGCACACTGATCAGTCTCCTGAGGACAGGAAAGGCAACTGAAATGCAGCAGCTTAGAGTAACCCACCTCAAGGGTGTCAGGGCGTGCACAGAGCTAGGTTAGCCTCTCAGAAAGGGGCTCCATTGGGAACAATCCCTCTGCTCAGAGTGCTGGGGACAGATCAAGAGAAGGTTAGTCCTGGGCCTTTCACTGTTGCTCAGTAAGACGCTCCCTGCCTATGGCTCAAGGAATAAGGCTAAATGGTAGGCAAAGGAACAGATTTAGTCGCTGACCCCCAAAACTGTGGCCTCAGAGGTAGTCTTCCTTTCCCAACCTCCCCTTCTTTCTTATTGTATCTCTTTGCTGTCATAAGCTCACCACAGGGTGGTGAAAAGAGAAGTGAAGCTCACTGTGTTAGCTATGAGTAAATCACAACCTGTGGGATAAGGTCCTGGGTCAGTCTTCACCCGTAATGTAGGGGTTGGACCAGATAGTTCAACTCTCTCTAAAATGATATAAAATGCAAGCTGTGGCATAGTAGAAAGAGCAGGGAAATTGGCACCATGGGATATAGGTTTCAAGCCTAGTTTTGCTACTTATTACTTGTAAGACCTTAGACGAGTCACTTAACCTCTCTAAAGAGATTGGACTATATGACCCCTAGGGTCCACCTTCCAGTTCTAGACGCAAGAATTCTACGTTCTAAGGTCCTTCCTTCCATTCTAAGACCCTCGACGTTCTAGGATGAGCTACAACTCCCTGTGTGCCCTTGGGCAAATGATTTCCTTTCTGAGCCCGTTTTTGTTGTTGTTTCTTTTTTGTCTTCTGTCTAATGCGGACACTTTAACCTTGACGTAAGAGAAAATTTCCTAAAAATCAGAGCTGTCCAAAGCGGGCTAGAAGGAGTTGTCTCTGGAGGTAACGGGCTTCCCCTCCCTGGAGATCTTTAGATGGAGATGACATGAACCACATCAACTATTCTGTAGAAGGAGTCTGTTTTCAGCTACGGGTTAGACAAACAGCCACGGGGGTCCTTTATGAGCTAAAATTCTGATCTCGTGACAACAGTCCCAAATCCTCTCTATCTGGGAGGGTTGCTGAGAACATCAGCTTGGACGTAACAAAATTTATCTTAAGCAATCTAAAATAAAAAAGTCAAGACTCTGAGAACAAAAGGGCATCACGGTACAGCAAATCACATTTTCCATTGGAAACCCACAGATGAGAAACGTTAAGAATGGAGAGAAACTTCACCTCTTGAGGAGGAATATCGAATGAAATGGTCCTCATGTCCACTTTGATAAAGCTGTCAGTGCAAGGCAGGATAAAGAAGAGCCCTGTGCAAGGTAAAGAGCCGGATGATTAATGAGAGACATCTAATGACTTTATTCTGTCACTAAATCAGAAGAGAATCAGATCTGATCAATTTTACATCTGGACTGATATGCAGAGGGGCCAGTCTGGGCAAGGCCATTCTCCACCAACAGATACATTTTTCTTGTCCAAGAACCTTGGACAAGTCTCAGTGCCTTTCTGATTTCTTCAAGAGATTGTCATATCCCTTTTTCTTTTGAAAATTAAATTTTATTGAAATCCTTTGTTTGTACATTGACAGTCTTCTCCAGATATTATTGTCCCCTCTTCCTTCTAAAAGAAGTTCTAGGGGCAGCTAGGTGGCGCAGTGGATAGAGCACCGGCCCTGAAGTCAGGAGGACCTGAGTTCAAATCTGGCCTCAGACCAAACACTTGACACTTACTAGCTGTGTAACCCTGGGCAAGCCATTTAACCCCAATTGCCTAAAAAAAATAAAAATAGAAATAAAAAAATAAAAAAAATAAAAGAAGTTCTACCAGACAACAAAGAAAACCAGTTAAGTAAAACCAGTCAACAGTGACTTCAATAGATACTGTATTCCACAACTAAACTCCCCCACCTTTGGGATGTCATATTTCTGGGTGAATTTCACTTAAGAGCAGTGGGAGAAAGTTGGGTCTTCTGAAGCAATGAATCTCACACATCTGGCTAGCTCTTCTGTGTATTTATTAGCCACATGACCCAGGGCAAGTTATATAACCTCTTTGCTTCAGTTTCCTCATATGTAAAATGAGGATAATAAATAGTACCTACCTCACTTGACTTCTAGAGGCAACCAGGTGGTACATTAGATAGAGCATTGGGCACAGAATCAGGAAAAACTGAGTTGAAATAAAGACTCAGCATCACTCTGGGAAAGTTTGTCTGCCTCAGTTTTCTCATCTATAACATGGGGATAATAGCTCCTACCTCGAAGGGTTGTTGACAGGCACAGTGCCTGGCACATAGTACACATTTGATAAACACCTATTTCCTTCTTTCTTTTCTTACAGAGTGCTGTAAGAATAAAATGAGGTGAGAGACATAAAGTACTTTGCAAACCTTGAAGTGCTATATAAATGTTAGCTATTATTAGCTATATCTGGTCCCAAATGTTTTACTCTCCACATCTACGAGGTAGGTTTACACATCAATATGCAACATGACTTGGATTCAAGATCTAAGTCTAATATTTGCTGGCTGTGTATCTACTCCTCAGATAAAATAACTTGGGTCTTGGAGCCAAGCCCACTGTCCTCATGGTATGGTAGGAAGAGGACTGGCCTAGGAATCAGGGCTGAGTTAGAGCCCCAGTTCAGCCAATCATTAAGTGTGTGAATGTGTCTATGTCACTTCCTCTTTTTTGACCTTAGTTTTCTCTGGTGTAAAATGAGGGGGTTGGATGAGAAAACATCCAAGGTCTCTTAGGCTCTAAGTTTATGAGCCCCTGAAACTGCTCCATGACCATGCTCCAGACTCCTGGGTTGAGTCTTTCTGAGAACCCAAAACAAAACTATCTATTGGGAAAGTCATCACTGCATCAGTCTCCCTTACAGGGGTCCCTGTAGGAAATGCACTCCAGAAAAGGAAGTTCTAAGAGTTATCACAGGTCAAGGTGGGTAGGGGACAAGAGGAAAAAAAATAAGAGAAGATAGTTTAGGCTTGGTTTCTTCTAGCCTAAGGATTACTGTAGCACTTCCCTGACTTGTCTCCTTCACTTACCAAATGACTCTTTGCAGACAAAGTAATATTCCTAGTACACAAGTCCAATAACTGCATTCTGCTGCCAAAATGGGTCCCACTTCCCTACTGGGGGCAGAATGGTACAGTAGAAAGAGGAGATGATCATGGATGTAAAGCTAGAAGGGAACTTTGAGGTCACTGTATCCATCCCTTCCATTTTACAGATGAGGAAACTGAGGCCTGGAGAAGTTACATGACTTTTCCAGGGTCACACAATTTACTAAGGGTCTATGATGCAATTTTAACTCAGTTCTTCCTGACTCCAAGTCAAGCATACTATCCACTATCTAGTGACTCACAAAGTATGATCTAGGGACTCCTAGGAGTCCCCAGGACCCTTCTGAGTATCTAGGAAGTCAAAATTATTTTCATGATAATACTAAAATGTTTTCAGTCCTAATATCAATAGATAAAATCCACATAAACAAAAGCTCTTTCAGGTCCTCAGTAATTTTTAAGAGTGTAAAGAAGTCTTGAGACCAAAAAGTTTGGGAATCATTGTATACCAGGTGAATCGAACTGGGTTTGGAATCTGAAGTCATGAGCTCCAATTCTTGCCAACTGTCAGATCCTAGGAGGTAATAACATTTACTGTACTCACTGCACAGGGTAGTTGTAAGGAAAGGATTTAAAAGGTCTCTATACATGTCATGGGGCAGTCTTAGTCTAACTCAGAATCTATGATAGCATCATCACCATTATTATAGTAATAATAATAATAACTAACATTTATGGCACCTACTACGTGCCAGCCACTGTACTAAGCGCTTTCCAATCATTATCTCATTTGATCCTCAAAACAACCTTAGGAAGTAGGTTCCTACTTCTGTCAAAGGAGGCAGACAGAAGATTGACTTGTCCAAGGCCATGTAGTATCTAAGGCCAAATTTGAATTCAGGTCTTCCTGACTCCATCCTACTGCACTATCAACTGCTGAGATAAAATAGTTGTAGAGGCACAGTCTGGATATGTCTTTCCAAAAGACCAAGCTGCCTTTGGTCTAAAAAGAAGCAGGGTAGATTAATAGAAAGAGTTCTAGACTTGGAAAAATCCTGCTTTTGAATCCTGGCTCTAATACTTTCTGGCTACATGATCCTAGACAAATAATTTTACATTTCTGAGCCTGCTACTTCTCTGCAAACCTGCCACAATACCTGCATGACCTACCTTGCAGGGCTTTTGCAAAAACCAAAGTGTTTATACAAATTTGATCTGCTATTCTTGCCATAAATTATTTAAATGACTTGGTCAAAGTCTTCCACCACTTGGCCTCGTCTTTCTAGCCATATTTCAGACAGCTCAACACTTTAGTCAAACTGGATTCCTCAGTTTCCAGATCTTGTCCTGTTCTCTCCAGCCTTACTGGGTGGCTGTCTCCTTACAGACTTCCTCTGCATCTCCATTTGCTGAAATTCTTCTTTTTCTTCAACAGGCCCCATTGAGGTGCTACCTCAGAGAACCTCTCTACCTAAATTTGTGTTCCTCCCACACTTTCCAGTCAGAAGTGATCTCTCTCTTTTTCAATCTCTTCTTCCTCTCTGATCTCTTCAATACATTTATCACATTCTGACTTAGTTATTAGCATTGGGAGACTCTTCCATTCGATTCCCCTAAGCTCCCTCAAGCACAGAGACTCTGCTGATTTTCGTCCTTGTACTAAGCCCCAAGTCTTATATACACATGTTGAGCCCATCTTGGGCAGCTAGGTGGTACAGTGTCTAGAACACCAGGTCTGAAGTCTGGAAGACTCATCTTCTTCAGTTCAAATCCAGCCTCACAAACTTATTAGCTTTGTGACCCTGGGCAAGACATGTAACCCCGTTTACCTCAGCTTCCTCATCTGTAAAATGAGTTGGAGAAGGAAATGGCAAATCACTCTGGTATGTTTGCCAAGAAACTCCCAAATGGGGTCACAAAGACTCTGAAATAGCTGAATAACAATGGGCCCATCTTATACACAGTAGGTACTTAATACATGATATAATGCCAGGGTGGCATTAATAGATATTTATTGAATCAAATTGGATTTAGGACTCTTCTTCAAGTATGGAAGTGGGGACAAGTGTCAGGTGTTGCAGTTAAAGGGAATGGATGAAAACTGAAGCAAAATGTTCCTCTTTGCTAAAGACAATTCCTGATGCTGCCACTCACCTGGCCCTTTGGCTCCTCCCTGTAAAATTCGACCCAGTCTGAAGATGATAGCTCTCTCATACTCCTTTATGATCTAGGAAAGAAAACAGCAAATTAAGTCTCAAGAGACTATAAGCTTCATGATGTCTTTTCTTTGTACCACCCTGAATGCTTAGTGCAGAGCTCTGCATGCAGCAGACATGTAATGAATGTTTCCTAAACACAAAATAAAGGGAATTTAAATTTTTATATGGTTTAATTCCCTGATCACAACCCTCTATGTGACTTAGTCATCACATGCTACTTTTTTAAGCAGATAAAATCTAGAAGTAAAATTGAAGGAACTGGGAGTGTTTAACTTGAAGAAGACGAGAGGCAGAGGGGAGAAGGAGGGACATGGCTCATTGTTTTCAGATAGCTGGAGAGTTGCTATAGGGAAGAAGGGAACAGGGTTTCTACTTAGCGCTAATGGGTTAGAACTGAAGTTCTATGGGAGAGTATTGAGTCACTGGAAGTCACAAAGAGATCATCTGTTGGAGAAGTTTGTAAGGGGTATTCTTGTTCACTTAGGACTTGAGGTAGAAAACCTCGGAGATCCCTGCCAATTCAAAGGATCTACATGACTCTGTGGATGATGAATGGCAGTGGGCAAAAGGGAGGCTGAGAAGTGGTAGATTTTGGCTTCAGATACAAAAGAACTACCATCAGGGGATATCTTCGCCCTGTCACCACTGTTGGGGATACTACATGAGAGGCTCATGCTTCCAGAGGGGTTAGAGTACCTAGTATCAAAGGTCCTGCCCACCTGGAAGTTCAATGATTCAGGGCTTGATTATTTTTACATAGTCAGTAGAGGAAAAAAAAATTAAGGCCTTGCATATTCTTCTGGTTTTTTCCCAAGTGTTACACATTAAATAAGTGAAAATATATGCTTTTTTAAAGCTCTCTGTTGGAGAAGTAGTGTGGCATAGTAAATAGAGATCTCTTCCCAATAGAGAGTACATGGATTCAAGAACATTCCCTGAAACATAGGGCCATATGACCCTGGGCAAATAATTTTACATCTTTGTACCCTAGGCAATACTCTAAGACCCCTAAGTTTCAGAGCAGTTGCTGATATTTATTTAGTAGTTTCCTTACCCAGAGTTCCCTGTACTAATAAAAACAAAGGTCTGGTTTAGGGGAACAAAAAAAAAGTTGGAAAATATTTGGTGGGTCTTCTGACATTTGCAGCAGTAAGTGGAGGAGGGAATACGCTATCAGCTTATTACTGACTACTTCCTATGGTGCCAATGCCTATCTCAGAAACTCTTCAATCCCTCACGCCAAAGGAGGGGCCCCCTCTAGGAAAGTCCCGAGAGATTCTTACTGTAGCCCAGCTGGTGAAATTTTAAATGGGCCCCAGAAAAAGTTCTTAAGACTTCATAGAAGTAGTAGAGGATTGCATTTTTCAAAATGGAAAGCAAGGAATAAAAGGCAAAGTGATACATTGAAAAAAGCATTAAATTGGGAGTCATAAGAACTACATTTGACTCCTGGCTCCATCGCTTACTACCTCTGTATGTTGGGCAAAGTAGCCTGCCTTGTCTGAGTTTCAGGTGACTCATTTGTAAAAAATGAGAGGGTTGGACTAAATCCTGAGATCCCATAGTAAAGAGTAATCCTGGCCACAAACGTACCTACAAATTAAACAGTCTACCTATTCGAAACAAGGGGCCACCTAACCCATTTTAAAGCTTCCTAAAAGAAATGTTCCATTACCTTTATGCACATCCAGATTGAGAATGGGAAGGTAATAACTGTGAAGAAGAAGGATATAGCCACCAGCAACCATCCACAGAAACCAAGGCCCTTACTGGGGTTATCTGCAGGAAAGAATACGTAGTTCACGTTATCAAGACCAAACAGAATCTTGACGATCACTCTTGTAGTACGAAGACACTACAGGAAACCAAAGAGCTTAGAGAGCCTGATATATTAGAGAGAACATTGAATTAGTCATCAAGAAGCTTAGATTTTCATTTCAGCTCTGCCATTCACTCACCTTATTTCTCTGGGCTTTTTATGTCTTTCTTTGTAAAATGAGGTGGGGCTGACTAGACCAAACATGGTTTCTTAACTTTTTGGATATTGGACCTCTTTGGCAGTCTGGTGAAGCCTGTGGTCCTCTTCTCAGAATAATGCTTTTAAGTGCATAAAATAAATGGGATTTCAAAGGAAACCAATTATGCTGAAATATAGTTATCAAATTATGAAAAAGTTAATGGCTTCCAGATAAAGTGAATGGATAACCTCCAAGGTTTCTTTCAGTTCTGATATCTTATCTTCCAAGTCTCCTTCCAATTCTCATATGTGATGGCATTACTTCTCTATGCTTTGGTTTCTTCATCTTTAAAATAGGGGCAATAACTTTGTACTACCTTCTTCAGTGGGTTTTGAGGCAAGTGCATTCCAAACATTAGAACACTATACAAATAAATAGGAACCATTAAGATTGAGTATTAAGATCCTTTCCTGCTCTAACATTTTATAAGTATAAATGAAACATTCAAATATTCATTCAATAAACATATCAATATATTGTGCTGAGAGAGTCAACAGACCTAGGTTAGGTCCTAGTTCTGGCACTTGCTTCCATGTGTGACCTTAGGTAAATTATTCTCAGTTTCAGTATCCTTAACTGAAAAATGGGAATAAATGATCTGAGGTCCCTTCCAGCTTCATGACCTCATTCTGTGTGTGCGTGTGTGCGTGTGTGTGTGTGTGTGTGTGTGTGTGTGTGTGTTTATGGTTTTTTTTTGTTTCTTGTTTTTTTTCCAAGTTCATGTATTCATTTTCTGCTGTCAGGCTTGGATTGAATTAGTTTGTTTCATTATTTTTATATTTAAAAAAATACATAAAAAATGTTTTTTACATAAAAGAAAAACAAAACCTTTGTAACTAATATGCATAGTGAAGCAAAATAAGTTTCTATATTGACCATTTTCAAGAAGTTGATTAAAATGAAGATAAAACACACAAATAATTATAATACAAATTAGTGCATAAGAATGGTACAGAGTGCTAAGAAACCACAAGAGGTAAAGAGAGAAATGTGTGGGTCAGGGGAGGCTTGATGCAATCAATACTGTGCCCACAAGCCATGAGAACTGACTGAGTAGCCGAACAGAAAAGTTTTGGGAACTAAATTTCCCATAGCAGTACCTCAGACCCAGCAAGAAAATGTATGCTGGAGGGTAGATTGTCCCTTTCGTACCACACATTCGACAGTCCACAGTCCAATGATGCAATGGAGCCAAGTAATTGTGAAATCTCCCAAGCTGGAAGTTATGGAGGAAGGCGCCACTCAGTTATTTTACTTGGAAAAGGCCCAAATCTTATATTCCAGAATGATCATGGGCTCAAAATTCTATCTTTCATCACAGTATCATATGACTTAGAAATGGGGAAGATCTTACACTACAGGTTGTCAGAGCTAGAAGGGACCTTAATGATGACAATCTAATCACCTCATTTTACTGATGAAAAAACTGAGGTCAAGAGCAGGAAAGTTATTTGACCAAAGTCACAGAAGTGATATAACCAAGATTGAACCCACATCTTCCTGATTCTTTCCTCAGAATCACACAGCATCAAGACTAGAATCTTTGCATAGTGAGACTGTTGGGCTAGAGATGAAAGAAATAGTTAGAGAGGAGTAGTGGGAAAGATCCAAATGACTATTAACAAAGTGTTACTACTAGACTATAAACTTATTGAAGGAAGAGCTGCAGTGATAGGGAAATATATATATATATATATATATATATATATGTAGATATATTTATCTCAATCAAAACCTAACAAAGAAAACAGCAAATTATGTGATTGGCATGAAGGACTTTGAATTTCAGGTTCTTCATTAGTAATAGGCTTTCATCCAAATTCAATTCAATTTAATTAAAAAAAAATTTATTAAATGCCTACTATGTACTAACTACTTGCTGGTAGTGTCCTGGAAGCTTACTGTCACTACCAGTTCAATGTAATGGGAAGGGCACTCATTGCACTTGAGTTATAACATCTGTGTGTGACTCCCCTGGAAGCTGGGTGGTTCAATGGAAATTGAATATCCATAAAGCAGTATGTTCACTGAATACTGGTTCCACAGCAATGGGGTTCCAACATGGGCTCAGCTTGTGTGAGATCTTGGGCAAATTGGTTCCCCTTTCTGGGCCTTGGTTTCCTTACCTATAAAATGAGGGTGTTAGACTAGATAAACTTTTATGGTTGATTCCAATTTTAAATCTTTGATGTTATCATCCCTACCACTGATTAGCTGTGTGACACAGAACAAATAGATCTAGCACTCCAGGCTTTTGTTTCCTTAAGCTATGATTTGAGGAGAATATTCCTTGACCAATTTACCTTACAGCGTGATGAGATAATGTACGTCAAACACTCTGTAACTAGAGTAGCTTTCTGGCTCCTTATCTGGACCAGACATGTATTCATTGGTAGAAAACGCCTGATGAGGAACACTACCAATTCAGATCTGTACCTTCTCTGCAATTTACTCTCCTAGAGATGTACTTGGCCACCTGAGATATTTAAGCAATTTTCCTGGGGTGGTACGGACAATATGTATCAGTGGAAGAACTTGAACATGGGTCTTCCCAACTCTGGACAAGCTCCCTATCCATGATCCCAGGTTGCCTCTACAAATGTTATTTGTTATTTAAAAAAAAAAATCTTATTAAAACCATATCTGTGATACTGTGCTAGACTATAGAAAGGCCAAACAGAGGATTCTTAGGATTATAGTTCTAGAGGTAAAAGTGGCCTGAGAGGTCATCTAAACCAACCGTCTTGTTTTGCAGCTGAGAAAACTGAGGTCCAGGGAGGTTAAGTGATTTTCCCAATGTCATAAAGAAAGAAAGTATTAGAAGCAGTGATTGATCCTAGGTGCAGATGGAGTCTGCCCTTTGGACTTCTTCATAATACACATTGTTTTTATTATTAATAGCATAATTCTGAAATGTGTTACACATAATACATACAATAACAATTACCATTATTATTATTATTAACTGATCCCATATCTATAGTACTTTAAGGTTTAAAAAGTGGCTTCTACAGAACAACCATGTAAATAGCATTCTCATTTTAAAGATGCAGAAGCCAAGGCCCGGATAGGTAAAGTATTTGTCCAGGGTCACAGCTTCAAAACTGAGACTCAAACCCAGGTCCTTTTGACTCCAAGTCCAAGTATTATATGATAGTAAGGTGATCTTGGAGAGCTCTACATAATCCTTTTTCAAGAAGAAATCAATTCACTGAGAGATTATAAGAAAAGTCTCCAATGTGGTGTTTTTGGAGAAGGCTTCTATCAAGCCTTTTTGCTATCATAAACCAGAAACCAAAAGCCCTAATTACCAATGGTCTGGTGTCAGTGGCAACCTCCCAAGACAGCTGTGTCCAAATTGGGAATGCATTGGGAGAAGCTCTGATAATGAAATATGAGATTCCCACAGTGTAAGTTTTCTTATTTCCAAACAACATTCTTTATGGCAAGAGACAGCAGAAGGCTCCCTGCCAGGCCTAAGTCTGGCCTCCTGAGGCTCTCCAACAAAGAACAGATGTACACCAGCTAGTTAACTCTTTTACTGTTATAGAAAATTTGCAGTGCACTAAATACTGGAGGATGCAGGCGGGGGTGAGGAGAGGGAGAGAAAGAGAGGGAGAGGGAGAGGGAGAGGGAGAGGGGGAGAGAGACATTATGAGAATTGTGGCCTGTCCTCAGTGAATGCTTCATAAATCTGCAAGATTTGCCTGTAGGTACGTGAGCCTGGCGCCTCAGCCTTCTGAACACTGCCCAGATATTCAGGTTACTTTTTTTCTTTGCTAGAAGTCTAAGAAAATGATGGCCTTTTAAAACCCAAGTTTATTCAGTGATGAAAAGCAAGAAAAGGAAATTAAGTAGTCCTCTGAGGATGGCTTATGAAATGCAGCTGGGCACAGAACACAGAATGTTAGTACTGGAAGGAACCCTGGAGGTCATTTAGTCCAACCCCCTCATTTTACAGATGAGAAAACGAAGAATCAGAGAGATGAAAGGGGCTCATGATCATATAGCTGGCAAATGGTTAACCCTGAATATGAAACTACGCCTTCTAACTGCCATCATTTATACAGATTATGAGTTTGAAACCTAGGTCTTCTGACTTGAAATCCAGTGTTCTTTCAACCATGACATGCTGCCTCTTTAAATTCGTGACATTCAATATCTAGTTAATTATGAACAGAGAAGCTAGATTTTTGTGGAGGCTTCACTTCTATGTGACACATCTTGACATATTTCTAACCTCCTAAAGCTTCAAGATTACCAAAAATCCACAGATTCACCTCCCACATGACCGCTAGCCTGGACAGGTAGAAAAGGAAATTTTAATTTCCTTCCAAACATTACATCACAATAAAACTAATTCACCAAAATGATAAGCAAATTCTATTGATCTACTTGAGAAGAAATCTTCAAAGGCAAAGAGGAGTGGATCTGGAGGTGGAAGACCTGGGTTAGAATTCTGATTCTGTCACTAGTGTGATTTAGGAAGGACACAACCTTCCTGGGATATCAGTTTCCTTTTCTGTAAAATAAGGAGGTTAGACTAGATCAAGGGTTCTTAATTTAGGGTCTGTGGACTTTAAAAACATTTTGATTACTACTTCAGTAATATTCAATAAATTTCAATATGAAACTATTTCAATATATATTTATAACTATTGCAATATAATACACATAAGTAATTCTCTCCCCTTTTAGACTGTGAACTCCCTTATTTTTGTCCTTCTTTGTATCCCTAGTGCTTAGTGAAGTGTCTAGCAC